TCTCTCTTTGTGTGTGTGTGTGTGTGTGTGTGTGTGCGCGCGCGCGCGAGTGTGAAGGGCACGCGCGTCGTTTTCGTGTGCGCACCTCTGTCTCGTCGCTTGCACATTTGCTCGCTCTCCTCCTCGTCTCGTCTCAGAGTTTACTCACCTCGCCCTCTGGATGCACCATGCACACTTGGAGAGTCTGAAAGACACAGGTATGCGTGTCATTCCCACACCGGATTAGGATCGCTGTGACGATATTGATGTTACTCAATGAGCCCACATTCCTCATCAATTATTGAACTTAGTTGCCTCTGCACAACCCTGTAGGCAAACTCAACGGCTCCTGGTTTGAATTCCCGCAGCACCTACCTTCTCCTCATCATAGGCTAAGCTTTTCTATCTTCACAACTCTTCGGACAGTTTTCACCAGCACACCTCCTTCCGTCCATCTCGCGCTCCCTCACTCCGCAATCACCCCCGGCCCCTGGTTCGATTCTCCCCCTAGTTCGTCGACATTAGGTCATGGCTGCGTCCATCCTTTGTATCTTTCCCAACCAGAGTTGACCAATTTATCGACTTTTCCCCTTCCCCCCCCCCCTCAGGATCCGATATTGCCTAAAAACTACAATTGAAATCGAAAAGAAAACAGGGGACCCAATACTGTCATCTTCACTCTGTTCTTCTTTCTATCTTGTCCATCCTGCCGCCTCGCACGCTGCCTCCTCCCAGCCCCTACGTCCCTCATCTCTCCCGCTTCTTCCACCTCTGCGTCTCTCTGACGGTTATCCCTCTGTTTCCCCCCTCCGACTTCTCTCTCTCTCTCTCTCTCTCTCTCTCTCTCTCTCTCTCTCTCTCTCTCTCTCTTCGATCTTGTTTGTCGCTGAGAGCGATACTGGATGCCGAATTTAGGAATGATTTGTAGACACTGTCGCAATATCAATTCAGCTCCTTGGAGTCTCTCCAGCGGTCCTGAGTATCCGTTTTGTGCCCCTCCCTCGACGCATACAACACCCCTTCTTCGATGGCTATGTCAACTACCTCGCTAACCCTGATCGTCGCCTCAGCGGTGCTCCTGATCTTCATTGCAACATTGATCGCACTCCTAATGCTGATGATCTGCAGAAAGTCCGGCAGTCCCCAAGAAGGCCGGCAATCAGATCAACTCCCAACCACCATTCCTCCTCCAACACCCAACAATCCTCCTCTGCCAACTCCGAGCGGTCCCAGTCGAGGTTCCAGAGGTTCAAGAGGCTCCAGAGGTTCCAGTGGTACCCACTCACTGGATCCAAGCTCCGTGGTATCTTATAGCTTCTCGATATTGATTGATTGCACTAACAATTTTGACGAGGCTGGTAGAATTGGTCCAGGGGGAGGCTTTGGGTACGTGTACAGGGCCATTCTAGATGACAGGGACGTCGCTATCAAGGTCATGAAAGGCAACGTAACGACTGAAAATCGCAAGCAGTTTAAGGCGGAAGTGAACACTCTTAGTCGACTCCACCATGCCAATCTCGTCGAGCTGATTGGCTACTGTTATGAAGCGCGCCGATGCATCTTGGTCTATCCTTTCTATTCTGGCGGGAACTTGTCTGACCGGATACACAACAGACCCGTCAGCACCGGCGGCCCTGTCGGGACCGCAGCTCTTCTCCCGCCATTGGGACTCGTTGAGCGTGTCTGGATCGCATTGCAAATCGCAGATGGGTTGCGATACCTACACTTCGGTGCTGTTCCGCCCGTACTGCATCGGGACATCAAGAGCACCAACGTGCTGCTGGACGGCAGGGTCGGGACAGAGCTGCGCGCCGTTCTCGCCGACTTCGGCATGGCGCGACTCGGCGAGCGCGTGTTGGGATCCCATGCGGACAGATCGATCGCGGCATCCTGCATGGCGGGTACGAGGGGCTACATCGCGCCAGAGTACTTGGAACATAGACGCCTGTCGACGAAGGCTGACGTGTACTCTTTCGGGATCGTCCTGTTGGAGCTCATAACGGGGCGGAATGCGCTGGAACCGGCGCTTGCATCGGCGGGCGGCGGGTATCAAGCGCTACCAGCATGGGTTCGATCCATCGTTGACTGTCCGAACGTCGATCTTCTGAGAACGATTGTGGATCGGAACCTTCGGCCTGATCTGTCCACGTGGCCCCAGGCACAGCAGATGGCGCTGGAACTGCTGTGGTTGGCACTTGAATGTGTTCAGGAGGATGATCAGCAAAGACCCAACATAGACATCGCCCAAGAGAGAATAAGTCGTATCATGGAATTGCAAGGTAAACAAGTGGACAAACGACAGATGCAGTGATATGACTGGATGATCCATTCGTTTCATTGGGTCCGTAAATGGTCCCCGCTAGCAGCACAGACAATTTTGTCCTTGCTGTTCTGGAGATTGTCGATGCACCAGATCGGATAAACCAAACAGGTGTGAGGGCAACGCAAGAGAGAGCGAGCGAGCGAGCGAACGAGCGAACGAGCGAAGGGGGAGAGACAGACAGACACAGAGAGAGAGAGAGAGAGAGAGAGAGAGAGAGAGAGAGTGGGACGAGAAGGATGCTTCATAGCGGGAGGGAAAGGATGAAGAGCCATAGAGATTCGTCGGCACCAGTATCGTTCCGGCGCAGAAAGAGCAGGTTGGCATGTGTTTGTGCGTAGGTTCGCGCGCATGTGTGTG